TATAAACATTCGCTCTCAACACTTATTAAAGGCTCATCTGAAAAAAAACTTTAAATAAACTTAATATTAGAAATGCTTATTTAACGCTTATTATAGCAAACTTACTTTAAGTTATTCTTAAAAAGATTTATGAAATGCTTGTTGGGTATGTATTTAAAAAATAAAGTATGCACAAATGTTAAACAACTACTAATACAATTGGGGTTTTCATTACATTTCACACTGGCCGTAATTTAATTTTTTTGGCAAAATTCTAAAAAGAAAGTGATCGTTTCCAAAATCGGTGCATATACATACATATTATTCATGCTACTAGTAAGTTAGGGCTAACATTTTGGACTGAAAAATAAGGCGAAGTGTAATGTACATACATACATACATATGTATATAAATAAATATTAAAAAAATACATATAATAAAACAAGTAAGAAAGTCTAAGTTCGGACGGAGCCGAACATTAAATACCCGGCGCAAGTATTAAATATATGTTTTCCACCTTTCCGAAAGCTACCGCTACATGATAAGCCGCGGTGTATAAATTTTAAGTAAATTAGCGTCCTTAAATTTCGAAACATTGAAATTTCAAGCATTTCTGAAATTTACCGTTACATGAAAAGTGGCCGTAATTTTAGTCCGATTTCAACAATCTTCAACGGTTTGCTTTTATGTGGCAAGCACAATAACCATACCGAGTTTGGTACAAATTGCTTGAACGGTTAGCGAGATACATATATGTGATCAGAAGTGGGCGGTGCCACGCCCATTTTCCAAAATTTTATCATAAACGTATTTCTTGGTAAAGAATTGTTGCAACCATCAATTTCGAATAAATTAGCTTTAATATTTACTGATTTATCGAGGATTTCGTATTTCTCTAAATTACCGTTATATGTAAACATCGGCGTAGCCAGAATGAAATTTAGGGGGGAGCTCGACCCTATTAAGCTGGCATTTCAGGGTACTATTTTATATATATATATAAGGAAAATTTGAAAGTTAGGGGGGGCTCGAGCACCCCCCTGCCCCTACCTGGCTACGCCCATGATTGTAAATATCAATTTTGAGTGAATAATTATCTTCAGTAGTTACTAAAAAATCGCAGTTTTCGTATTTCTGAAAATTACCGTTATATGGGAGGTAGGCGTGGTTATTGTCCGATTTCACCCATTTTCAAACCATCCGTCCCATGCCCAAAGGAAAAGCACGTACCAAGTTTCGTTCGTTTCGTGTGCACAGACGGACAGGCGGACGGACAGACGGTCACCGCTTAATCGATTTCTCTTTTCATTCTGATCATTTATGTATACATTTGTCTATATCTATCTCGATTCGTTTTGCCTGTTACAAACAACCGTTATGTAAACAAAGTTCTAATACCCTTGTGAACAAGTGCGCTCGGGTATAATGAATTAGAAAATAAGCTACCCTCTTCCTTTACTGAAGGTGAGTGCCCGCCTAGAGGAACTTTCACTGTATTCGTGTATTGGGCACAGGTCACTGACAGTTATAACTTTAAAGTAGTGACGGAATTTGTGCACCTAATAATATAATAATAATAGATTGGCGCTTACACAAATGTTAGTGTTTGGCCGAGCTTCTCCTCCGACTTGTGGGGTGCGCCTTGATGTTGTCACACAAAGCGGAGGGACCTACAGTTTTACGCCGACTCCGAACGGCGATTGTATTTTTATGAGAAGCTGTTTTTCATGGCAGAAATACACTCGGAGGTTTGCCATTGCCTGCCGAGGGACGACCACTGTTAAGAAAAAACCTTTTTTCTATATTTTTTTGCGATGTTGCTTTGACCAGGGTTTGAACCCAGGTGCTGCGGAATGGAAGCGCGCACTGCCTACCACTGCACCACAGCGGCCGATTTGCGCACTTAGGGTCCAGCATAAACACCACCTTATGGATTTTGATGCGCTGAATGCTAATCTTTAGTCCGTTTTGCTTCATAACGCCAGGATTTTTTCCTAACCTCAAAAAGCGTGCTGGTTACATAATATCCACAACATTTTTTGACGGTAGTGCTGAACTCAGGTCCGTTAGACCGATTCAGCGCATCTATCTTGTTCCCAGACCCTGACACTTTTTTGTTTGGCTGTGTAATATTTTTTGGCGGATATAGCATCTAATTCCATTTTTCAGCACGGGTAAAAAATACCACTTGTAGTAAATACAATATATGCAGCACAGAACGAACTAAAGTGTGTCAATTTATATTTAACTTGTTTTGCACAGTGTACAGCGCTTGACCAAAAATAAAAAATAAAGTAAAGTGAACTTTGGTACATCAATGGATAAATAGAAATAGTTTGTAGTATTATACATACATACTATGCTTTTAAAAATTGAGAAGCACTTTTTCAAATCTGAAACGAAATTCTCAAAAAATTAAAATATTCACGGAAACAGCCCCCCTCAAAGTATTTTGAAGACCAAATTCAGTCAAATTCGGATCAAACTTAATAGATTCTAATAAAAGCCCTTGGGAAGTTAAGCAGCTAGTCGTACCGACATTCAGATGATGGAAAGATTTCAGATGCTCTTTACCAGGTTAATATCATTTTATCTAATTATCTACCGTTTAAAAATTGTCGCATATGTCCATTATAAATATGTATGTATTTTGGTCCACCAATAACGTACACGATTTTCATTTTTTCTATTGCAGTTTTTTATAATCATGTAATATTTAACATTGTCTTAACGTTTACTTCTTCACACTCTTTGTTTGGTCAGAAAACCTTTTTATAAAAGTTGATCTTAATTACATGCATAACCAATTACATTAAATAACAAATGGTAGTGAGATTTATGAATTGCGTACATATTGTACATACCAGTGATGGGCAAAATGTATTTGCTAAGTACTAAATACAAAAGTATTTAGGTAATTATGTTGCAGTAAATAATAAAGTACTGTTTACTTAAATATTTTGGATGTTCCTAAATAACGAGTATGATGGTATTTACTTATTTTCACAGCACCAAATACTAAGTATAAAAGTATGTGCTTTCAATACATGAGTACTTAAGTATGCCCATCACTGATACTTACTTATGTAACTATCACTAATGCATATGCAAATAAATAACTTTGATTTTAAATAAAATAGAAAATGTGTAGATACAAATACGAGGTTACTCGTTAATACATACGTACAATTCCAATAAATCTTATGTGAATACATATGTATCTACACAGCCAGCAGAGAAACGTTCTTTTTGCCGAAAGTGCAGTTTTCGTACATTTTTCGTTTCCGGAAATGTTCAGAAAACGATTTTCATATTTGTTCATTTTTCGTATCCGAGAAATGTCATCATCTCATTTCAAAACAATAATTTTAAAATATTTGTTCAAATTCGCCAGTAGCTGAGTGTGCAGAGAAGTGTGCTACTATTTCTTAGCTTTCAGGAGGTCCCAGGTTCGAATTCCGTCAGAAGCAACACATTAAAATTAGTTATTCAAATTGATATAATTGCTGAATCTTAAATTTGTTTTTTGTGTGGTTTCCTGTAACTATGAAAAAGTTTCTGTGAAGTTCATAATGAAATCGTTTTCAACGAAAAATTGTATCAGACAAATTTCAGGAAAACAGCCGAAAGCGCATCCGTTTTACAACCATTTTCGATAGTTTTCTGCACATACGATTCGAATGAACACTTTAGTGGGAGAATTGATCTGAAGAACGTCTGAAAACGGAATCCGAAAACGGATGAAACATCAGGTTTTTATACGAAATTGTTTCCATTTTCGGACACGTTTCCTGATATTTTGCTGGCTGGGTATGTATGTATAAAGTATGTTCCCAGCCAGCAAATTATCCGGAAACGTATCCAAAAATGGAAACAATTTCGTATTAAATTAATTAATCGTTTACCGATTCCGTTTTCGGACGCTTTTTAGATCAGTTCTCCCACTAAAGTGTTCATCCGAAACGTATGTGCAGAAAACTATCGAAAATGGTTGTAAAACGGATGCGCTTCCGGCTGTTTTCCTGAATTTTGTCTGAGTCAATTTTTCGTTGAAGACGATTTCATTATGAACTACACAGAAACTTTTTCATAGTTACAGGAAACCAAACAAAAACAAATTTAAGATTCTGCAATTATTTCAATTTGAATAAATAATTTTAATGTGTTGCTTCTGACGGAATTCGAACTGGCGAATACGTATACAAGTTTTCAAATGCTCAGTTTGAACAAATATTTTAAAATTATTGTTTTGAAATTTTTCGGATACGAAAAATGAACAAATATGGAAATCGTTTTCTGAACGTTTCCGGATACGAAAAAAGGTACGAAAACTGCACTGTCGGCTAAAAGTACGTTTCCCTGCTGGCTGGGTTTGTACAAAAACATTTACAAAACTGTACAGGATATTGGATTATCAAAACAACTTTAAACGAAGTTTATTCAAATGCAATCATATTTTGTGTACGTTCACTTTGTCTAAGGATTACACTCTGAATAATGTGCATAAAATAATATACAAATACTTAAAGATGTGCAAGTATTTCGATATGCTCTCCGTTGTGTGCGTTATCCGCATCCACTTGACTGTCGTTTTTGGATATCGTAACAACGGTAACTAATTCTTTCTGTGAATGTGCGTTTACTTCCGTCGTAGTATTTGCCCTGCTTTCTTCTTGTTTATTTGTGGTGCATGGTGGCGTTCCACGGCAATGACTCGGCCGTGGATTTCGCACATGTTGAAAATCCTTCGCCAATGTTACGCTATTACTCCTAATTGGCCTTTCGGGCAGTGATCGTAATGTTGAGTCGGAGTGGCTATTGGGCAGTTGCTCCGAACTGGATGGTTCTGGGATATCTTCATTGCGCAGCAGATGGTCTGTTGGCGTGGTGCCCACGCTGCGTTCACTACATATCGTGGCTGGATTAGTGTTTCGTGACCTATAGCTCGGCGGGAGGCTGTACTCGGACGTCCCAGCTATGCTGCCAGCTGCACCATTTGCTCGTAGCGTTGTGGTTAATGGTGCTCTGAAAGAAGAATAAACAAACCCGTTAACTGAATTTAGTTGTGTAAAGGGTACACATTGAGCCTCATGCATAGAAACTGAACTTAAGCTTAGACAAATTTTTTGCACTGATGAAGTGAGCTCAATCTCCGAGTCGGAGCTTAAGCTAGCTTTTTATGCATGCGCCCCATTAGTTTTTTTGCGTATGGGCCAGAATGCAAAATAAACGGCATTCTGAGTTGCCTTCTCTCCTGTTTTTAAACGAAAGAAGAATAATTTAATTGAATTAATGATTCAAAATATTGCTTGGTAGACAAAATTGATAGCAGCTTTATATTGGTTCTGTAAATCGACGTGGCGCCGCCATTGACAATTGTTGCCTATTTCTAATGTGTTGTATGGTGTAACAGAAATATACATACACACTCCATCTTGGAAAATTTCGTCCTAAATAGAAAATTCAGCGTAAGGCGAAATGACTTTAGAACAGAAAGCTACCCTATATATGCAGCTGTTCCTCAAGGAAGTGTTTTAGGCTCAATTCTTTATGTAATTTATACAAGCGGCTTACCAATTACCAATTCTTTAACTTTATCGACCTTTGTTGATGACACGGGCTTTCTAAGCGCAAAAGGTTGAGCTCTGGTTTACTACTTGGCGAATTAAGGCTAACGAGAGCAAGTCCATTCAAACCAGATTAACGCTAAAAACAGAAACATGCCCATCTCTTAAGATTAACCGCAAACCTATCCCTATAAAAGATAGTGTCAAATATTTGGGTACGACGCGGGACAGAAGACTTGCTAGGAAAATTCACATAGAAAATGAGATTTCCCAAGCAAAACTAAAAGTAGGAAGCCATCATTGGATTATAAGATGCAAATCCAAATTGAGTTTGGATAACAAAACGTTGTTGTTTAATATGATCATTAAGCCATGCTGGACATATGGAATCGGAATCTGTGGCACGACTTAGAATTCCATTATAGAAAAAAATACAAATACTTCAGTCAAAAATATTACGAAGTATATGTGGCGCTCTTTCGTATGTAAAGAATGCAAAAATACAAAAATATCTTACCGTTAACACAGTACACGAGAGTATAAGAAAATTGAGCAACAACAATAGACTAGCGAGAGAACTTTTCAGCAGACGATATTTGAGAAGATTAAAAAGAAAGGACTTTGCCGACATTAGCAAATGACGCGCTATATACGATATTTTCTGTACTGATATTCCTTAAGATATCTCTCTACTTTAAATTTACACTTTATAAATATCCCTACAGATGATATGATATCCCTACTGATATCCTTTTTTTATATTTCTAATACGATATGCTCTTCAAGTATATGAAATATCTCGTGATATTTTCTCCGAATTACTTATGTAATTAGAATTTAACAACACAAAATTCAATGCGATTGCAGAGAACATAACTTGAATATATTAGTTCCTTAAGATTTAATACCTTATTGTTATTTTCATTTTATAAAGGATACAATAAATATTTGGATATTAAAAAAACATACATGAATCGCATGGTGGAATTATACAAGGTCAACCATCTTGGCTCCCTTAATTATGTAAATCGATGTCTCCTTCAAAAAGGTACATACTTTTCCTAGGCATGAAATGATATGCAAGTCTTTTCCTCTAAGAGCAGCCGTTTGCGCAGTACTGGTTATCGTAACCAATCATAAGTGGCACTTTCCTGTCATGATATCGCCACCATGTCAAACTATCGAATGTGAAAATGGGTACTTTTCAGGAGAGCGAAAAACTGTTGTAAAAATTTCTGTTGTCATTAGGAAAAAGGGTGGGATTCGACACTTTTTATCAAAGCCAGTATCCTCTTCTAAGAAGACTCGAAATTTGACGATTTGATTTGCGTTTCATTCTAAACGCATACGCAAGGTATCGTATTGAAAAAGCATTTTTTCACATGTCACATTTGACATGGTAGCAACGATATCTCAGGATCCTTCGATATTCATGCATTGGCCAAGTAAGAAGTCCACACGAATGATGACGTTATCCACTATAAACACTTGGGTTCGTCTTTTTCAGCCCTGCGTTTATCTCCTTCTGAACTGCTTAACCTGTTGGAACCCATCTAACAGTCGCGTGAAAAATGGCTTAGCTTTTCGCAGCTTAAGAATTTTCCAGCATTCATTTTCTCGATTGCACCAGGACTATTCTTGCCTGCGATTGACTTAAGCGTTTTTATTATCTCATTCATTACATCTGGTGTTTCCACTTGCTCTCTGTTGATCGTTTCGTGTGCACGTTCGGTTTGAATCTTTGGCTTTTACCTTTCGAGGTGCTCACCAGATTTGTCTCAAACTAGCAGGCTTTTTGGTAGCGATTTGTCACCTCCATTTGGTGAATCTTTCTCCTGTGCTCGCTACCATAAGGTGTTTCCACGGCGCCCATCAACACATCGTACCCAGCGGCGCAAATGCACATTACGTAATCGAATACTCCTTCAAAACTTCGAAGGCGGTATATCGGACTGAATGGATTACAACCCAGATTACTTTGCCATAGGCATGACCGCTTTGTGGTTAGCGTCCTTTACATACTGGTTTTGTTTGTAATCGGAAAGTATGATGTGACCGAAAACTCTTCGGGTGTTCATTACAATACGTCTTCGTTTGTAAATTGTAATGTGCATTGTAAGTATGTAGACTGCCTGCAATTAGCATTACAATTTTAAATTGGGTCAGCAGTGTTTTAATCATTTATTGTATGAATTACGTAATGCATATTGTGGACGGCCCCATTTAGCAGTGCGCTGCTGGGGTAGTTGTCTCTTTCATACTCTGCCAGATTTCCGCTGCAGGCCCTTTTAATGCAACAAACAGCGCAGCGGACTTGTCCCCCATGCACTAATGGTTTGCTGTGCCGTTTTCTCAAACTGGAGCTTAAAGATCTGGAAAGGAAATGTTCCGTCAAATGATGATGTTTTTACCTTGGGAGCGGTCGTCGCAGTGACTGGACGATTAAATTTACGGAGACGACCTTCTAGTTCACCCACTTTTTCTTGTCTTTTCCCCGATCTTATCCTCCTTGCGGTGATGAACCAGGAGCTTTTCCATTTTTTTCAACATACGCGAGTGTTTCCTGTGCACCTTTAGATCAGTGATGGGCAGATTTTTGGCTCTTAAAGCAGTCAAAGAGCCAGCAAGTTCTTTGCAAGAAGTAAACCAGTTCGCAGGGTATAGCGGGTGTAAAAAACACATTAATGATGCTTATATATTAGTAATGAGAGCCGGAGTACAAGAAATTTTATGACGCTCTTATTTCCCTTAATGCATACTTTTGACGTCACCCCTCAACTAGCACCTAAATGTGTCAAGCCGGCTCCTAAGAGCAAAAGGCTCCTCTTCTTTTTCGTTATCCTTCGTGGCTTTCTCCTCGGATACACGATGGAAGTCGTACTTATCCACGTCAATGCCTTCCTTTTCCATTACCTCTCGCAACCGTGATAATATTTCTACTTTTCCTCCGGACGTGGCCAAATTTCGCTTTCAGTCTCTGGTTTGAGTTCTTCAATTTTTAGCTCTTGAAGCCTTGCCATTGTGAACATTCTCTTATAGGATTTATTGATTAATCCCACTTTTTACACCAATTGTTACGATTAACCTTGAATATTCGACGAATTTCCTAAATCCTTCAGTTCCGTTACAGTTACCGAACATTCCCGTCCTCTACTGGAAGCATCTGTCATTATTACGAATGTTAATCCCGGAATCCCGGCCTTTTTTAAGTCCCAAAAATCCCGGGATTCTTTGCAAATAATCCCGGGATTTTCAGGATTTGTAATTTGCCCTGGAATGGAAACTCCTTTTCTTGATCAGTATTGGCTATATTTATTATTTTTTAATAATTAGTATTTTTTCATAAATATCTAGCTCATTATATATACAACATCATGCGATAGTAAATTTTACCCATAAAAATCAATATATTCGTGAAACCATGGGCCAAATATTGTAAAATAGCGTTTTTAGTTTTTCACTCTGACGTAAGTAATTCCAAAACGATTTAAAAAATTCAGTGAAATGTGCTTAGAGAAATTCTGTAGAATTTAATCAGATTACATTTTTTGTGCATATCGACTGGCAAGTATTGAAAATATCCTTTTAAAATTTTTTCCAAGAAATTTCGCAATATTTGTTTTTGAAAAACTTATATCTTAAGGACTTATATAAACTCGATAACATTCTCGAGTTTCGTCCTTCTAACTTTATCAGCTTAAAAAATTACTTATTCGTCCTTGTGATTCGAAAGATTTTACTTTTGTCAAATTCTAAAGGAATTTCCTTCCTTCTTTCCTTCGTTTTATTTGATGCCCATATTTTTATTCTACAATGCATTGAATTTTTTAAATAATTTTTGGAATTAATTGAAATTACAAAGTCCTTTAAATAAATCCTGACGTCAGGAAGAAAAAATAAAAACGCCACTTTTAATAAAAATGTAGGTTTCAAACCTATTTATTTATTATTTATTTTATGGTAGGATGAGTCAGTTGGGGTCGTTAGATCGAATCGCACTGAAAGTGGTCTGATTAGAAATGTGGTGATTTCCGAAATAGCTATCACTTCTACCATTTTTATACCCGAGCGCACTTGTGCACAAATCGATTCGAGATAGATATAGACAAATGTATACATAAATGCTCAGAATGAATAGAGAAATCGATTAAGCCATGTCTGTCTGTCCGTCCGTCTGTCCGTCCGTCCGTGTACACGAGCAAAAATTTAGATATCTCAACGAAATTTGGTATGCAGGTTTCCGATAATCCAAGGTAGGTTGGTATTGAAAATGGGCGAAATCGGACTGTAACCACGCCCACTTCCCATATAACGGTAATTTCCAGAAATACGAAAACTGCGATATTTTAGTAACTCCTAAGATAATTCACTCAAAATTGATATTTACAATAATTTTCAGACGAAAAATAAGAATATTATAAATTTTTGGAAAATAGGCGTAGCCACGCCCACTTATGG